GAAAAGAGGATACAGCCTCGATCAATTCGAAGGAAGAAGAGAATTCGACGCGGAGCGTACGGCGACGCGAGCCACGAGGACGCCGCAGCTGGAAATAGGCTCGACGCGAGAGCTCGTCGTCTGGGTTCCTCCGACGCTTCGCTTCGTTCGTCGGTATCGCGTCCGCGATAAAATCGTTCATCTCGCTCGCGAAGACTCGCGAGAGTTTATAATCTTTCGCGAAACTACATAAAACACGAATCGCCAAATTATCCGACGTCTCGCTGCAAGTTTTTTTCTCTTGGATCGGCAAAAGAAGGATCATAGAGAAGAGCAAGTTCGAGGAGAAGAAGCTCCGGTGTGTAAACAAGATAACGAAAAAAAGGAAGACGGAAAATTCAGAGATCCGAGAGGATCGCGGGCGCATCTGGAAATAGTCGTCTCTCTCTCTCTCTCTCTCTCGTCTCTCCGCGCGGATCTTCAATTCGATACGCGTTTCGAGTTTCGCGGCCTGGAGGAACCGCGTCTTCCCCGCGTCTGGTGGAAAAACGGACACACGTCCCGTGTGTGTTACGCGACGTCGAGACGAGCGCGCGATCTACGAGGCCTACGAGGTATTATGTTTTCAGCGGAGACGATAGTTCGCCGAAAGTTAGAGAGAGAGAGAAGAGGAGTTCAGTGGTAAGCGCGAAAATAACTTCAACGTGTGCTAAAAGCGGCGTCGTCCACCGGAGCGCCAGCCTTGCCGCAGCGCGTTCAAGAAGCGGACTTGGAATCTTCTCGCTTGGTGTCCGATCGCGGCCTTCGAATCGGCCGATCTTGAAATTTTCCCGAGCGCGTTCCGAGAATTCGAGCAAGTTTCCGATTTGGAGCGCGAAGAGCGCGTCAATCCTTCCCGCGCACACTCGCGAGAATCGCGAGAAAGTCGCGGGAAATCGAATCGATCGATGCGGCAACAAGTGGCAACATTCCACTTCGCGTGTGTGTGTGCGCTCGCGCGCGCGCGCGCGCGCGTGCGCGTTAAACCTCGCGGTTTAAATTTAAATAACGCCTTCCTCGCTGAATTTTTCTTTTCTCATTCGTTGCTGACCGCGTTTTACGCGCGCGAGGCGGCTAAAACATCGCCGCGAAAACATCGCGAATTTCTCGAGACAATGTATTTTGAGGCGCGACGCGGCAAAAGACGATGTTGATGGCACGCGCGATGGTCGCGCGCTACGACAGAAAATCCGGGAGTCGATTATATCATCGCGGTATTACGAAAAAGATGATTCAAGAGAAAATCACGTCGAGTATGCGAGAGCCCAGGCGAGCGAGGCGATAACGTCGCGAGGAGATCTCGAACGAACGAACAGGTTGTTCGGGAATTCGATCTCGCAGGAGTCGCGTTCTGGAAATCTTACTCTCGCTCTGTGTTGCCCAAGAGATACTCCCCCTGCAGCGGATAGATTACACGTCCTTCATCCTTTCTGATTCCCGGTTGTGTTTTGTATCTTCGATTCTCTCGATCTACGCGCACATATATTTATAGACGCGTATAATAGATGGATGTATATATATATATATCTCGGATACAAATATAATCTGAGATGTACACACGCGCGCGTGAGAAAATACGTATCTTCTCCATTGATTCGTAATATTTGTTTAATTGCCAAACGCGCTAAAATGCCAAAAAAATGCCAAAGTTTGCGGCGCGCGCGCGCGCTTTATAAAAGTAGCTGCCGCATCACGAGCGAGTTTTCAAAGCAAATTCTCAGTCGGGATCGAGAGCGCGATCTGACGTCTTAATGCATCGTTCATACATTTCTTGCATCCCGCCGTCGTGCGCTGTAATGAGTCACTTCTCTCGTTATATACGTCCACTTCCCGAATCGCTTTCCGGAGATTCGTCTCATCACCGAAAAAATTGTATTCTTGTTTTAAGGATATCCCACTTACTTTAAGTATATTTTATACTAAAATAGGCGCCAAGAAAAGTTTTTTATTTTAAGAGGAAAATCCTCTAAATAGTAATATTGATAAGAATATATACTGATTAGAATATAAAAAGCCTCTGTAGAAAAACATATATCTCACTATCAAAAAAGACTATATTCTTAAATTAAGACAATATTCTTAAATAAAGAATAAATTTTTAATTTCAGAAGAATATCATTTAAAATCTTTAAGAAGATTTTTTAAGTATAAAATCTTCTACTTACAAGAATATAATTTTTTCGGTGTATATATATATATA